ATGGGCTAAATTTAACTGACTAACATTTCCTAATATCATTATTTTTTAGTATTATTTACTGGTAGAATGAAAATTTTCTAAAAACAACTTGATTAGAGAGATATTGATAAATAAAGCATTGGTTATGGGATCAACGCTTGACGTAACACCGATTTTAAGCGTGTAGAAATTTTTACCAGCAAGTATATCAGTTTCATTGTATAATAGATTTAAAAAAGAACTATTGTGGATTTATACTCTACTGTGATGTACAGATTTTACACGCATACGCGCATTACACGGAATTCAGCCAACCAAAGAAGTTACAACCTTTTTATTAAAATTTCGTCAATACAAGTTGATAATTGATCTTAGAAGTGATTTTTTTGTTCACCTCAAGCTTCAGTCCTTTTGTATAAACACACTTCTAACTAACTAAATACTGGTAGAAATGCTGGTCTATCAATGATACTTCATAAAGTGATGTGAACAAGTGGTAATATTATACTCATGGAACTAAATATTTTGTGAACATTTTCAACGCAAACTATATCTAAAGCAACTGGTCCCTTTGATAAATTTAAACAGCGTAATGAGAAGACGAAGATTATCTGAAACATGTGATGTATTAGCGCTATACATTTCAAACAATCTGATCACACATGGACTTGTCGAACTATTTATATGAAAATTTACGAAAAGGTCAATGAAGTTAATGGGAAACATGAGAATAGGAAGGGATAGAAAAGGAAAAGGAAAATCTTATTCTTGGTATGAAAATTAAAATCAATACTACCAAGGTAGGTTCAACGTGAGTACAAATTGTTTTTGTATACATAAAGCGGGGGGTTTAAATTTACGGATGGCAAGAGCTTCAATAAATTTAAGCCATCCGTAAACTTAAACCCCCTTTATGTATACAAAAACAATTTGTACTCACGTTGAACCTACCTTGGTAGTATTGATTTTAATTTTCATACCAAGAATAAGATTTTCCTTTTCCTTTTCTACCCCTTCCTATTCCTATGTTTCCCATTAACTTCATTGACCTTTTCGTAAACTTTCATATAAATAGTTCGACAAGTCCATGTGTGATCAGATTGTTTGAAATGTATAGCGCTAATACATCACATGTTTCAGATAATCTTCGTCTTCTCATTACGCAAACCATATCACCTGACTACACCTTGCGCTGAATGACAATTGTAAGGTTGAATGTGAAACACAACAGATAGATGAACAAAAATAACGTGTTATTCAGTACAGAAGATTAACGTTCCAAGTTGTCATACTTCACAACAGCACAGACAAAGGGATTGGACAGAAATAGAAAATAAGCAAGGAGGAAATGAGAAAGAGGAATTTTTGAGGATCAATAAAAATGCTGAGAATTTCAGTGATAAAAATTAATACATCTGAATTTAACTGTAATCAATTTTAAACTGTAACCCTTGATCAAGGGTTTCCGGCTATTTGTTTTTAACATTATTCGTACTAGACAGTCTAGTTTTTATATAAACTATGATCAAGATTTGATCGTATAGTATGGGCGCTGAGTAAAAGGTTGACATAGAGTTGTATTTGAAATCAAACAATTCCAACGTTTCACACGGAAGTCTCGTCCGAGCTTCTTCAGGGAAATAATCAAAATTGAAATATGAACGATGTATAAATGAGTTCAAAGGATGTATATTTAATCTTCTCGTCCATTCCTCTTCGTATAGTCATTGTCTTCCTAAATTATGATAACTAATCATTCACTGTGAACTTTTACGTCTTTTGTTGTTTGGCGTATGTATGTACCCCAATATCATATTCGTCTTAATTGTGAATATCACACAAAAAGGACATTAGTGACAGTCATTCGGTAATTTTTTTTTATAAGTACAAATTGAAAAGGATGAGGTGGATATGTATACAGTTTCAGTTGAAGTAAAGTGGTGAATTGTGTTAGCGAATTCTCTCCGCATTGATTTACCAATATAGAGTGTAAATGGGTGGTAATTATGATGGTGATGATGGTAATAATAATCATAATATAAATAATAATGATGAATCAGATCAGTGCAGGTTGTGTTGTTGTTGATGTAGAAATAATGGAGTTGAGACCAGTGTTTTGAGTGACTCTTTTTGTTGACTAATTAGTAATTGCCAAAAGGCAGCTAACTGTACTCCATCTCGTCTGTTCAAACTGTCTGGATTCACCCATATATGTAGGGTCTCGGCTGTCAGTCTTTCTTGGTATGACCCAAAACTTTTTTGTAGAACCGTAGTTCTGTCAAAGTCGATTTTGTGTCCCATTTCTATGGAGTGTAACGCGATCGCGGATTTGTTTTCTAGTTTCTTAACCTTTACTGAGGTTTTTGGGATCTGCTTTAAGCATAGTTTATACTCATTGACTCTCACATTTACCTGTCTGGCTGTTTCCCCTACATATACTGCAGTACAATCTCCGCATTTGATTTCATAGATGCAGTACTACATCCTTAACTTTTATTAAGTTAGAACGTAGGGTATTTGTTGCACAAAAGCGAACTCTTATGTCATGTTTGTTGAGAATCCTTCTTATCTCTTCTGAAGTCTCCTTTCGGTATGGAATCATGACCGTGCTTGTCCAGTTCTTCGGAGGGATTTTCGGGACATCCTTAATTCCATTTTTTATAATACGTCTAATTGTTTGCTTCCAGTGTGCGGCAAACTAACTTTAATTCTTCTTTCTTGTCCTCTTCCGTTGTAACAAGACGGTTAGCCCTGCTAATCAGATTCCGTGTGACAGTTATCTTAGTAGTCAAAGGATGTACAGACTGATAACCGAGATATCTGTCAGAATGTTTGCTGTAATCCCGTCTTTCCACTATACAGTCCATAATTTCGACAAATCGGATTCAACTTCCTTGATGAAAGTGATACTTCCGCACACATTATTTATGTGACTGAAGAGTTCATCCAGACTGTTTCGTTTGATGACAAACGTATCGTCTACGTACCTTAACCAAATTCTTGGAGGTGTAGAGCAACTTGCAATAGCATTTATCTCTAAGGAATGCATGAACAAATTAGCTGCTATTGGTGATACTGGAGATCCCATTGCTATACCGCCTATATGCATGTTTCGCATCAATAGTCAGAGACCTCATGGATTGCTTCTATCTACTGGTTTGCCTAACTTTATGATTCTTCAAAGCATAATCCTCCTCCAGCTGACATCATGTGTTAGGTTAAGATAAGCAGTGATTATGCATTAGTCCATTTTCTACGTGAAAAATCAATCCTTTCATTCTTATGAACTACCGCATGATATATGAGCATACAATTCAGGAGTATATATGAATGACTCGGTACGACTAAAAAATGAGCATCAATCTTCGTCTTCTAGTTAAGGGGTTGTAAGTATGTCATCCTGTGTTCAGCCCAATGAGTGACTCATTATTATTATTATTATTTTCCCTTGGGTTCCTAGTGGACAACAGGGCTTCAGTAGCACGCCTCCATTGCACTCTGTTCTCTGCAGTCTTTTGAACCTCGCTCCACGTCTGCCCACAAGCTTTCATTTCTTCTTTACACGATCTCCTCTATGTCACCCTCAGACAACTAACTCGTCGCTTCCTATCTGACTTCCACTCGACGACCCGACCTGGCGCATGATGTCCCCAGTCGGCCTTCTCAGTGTATACCCAATCCATCTCCACTTCCTTCTTCTGCATACTTGTTGGGTGGTAGGTTGTTGGTTGGTTCGTCACCAAGCCAGAGTTCCTTGTTGCTTATTCTTATTATTTTGGCCATCTGATCTGATCTTCAGTATGGAGTGAGCGTAGACAGCAGCTTTTGATGAATGTGTGTAGTTTGTTGGAAATGCTTTTCGTAATGCGTCAAGTTTGTGAAGCATCACATGGAAGCAGTGACTTGACTGACTTGGTGTTGAGAATCCGGAAGTTGTTGTTAATGCTGTATGGAATGCAGCAGATCTCCACATTGATTTCAGGTTAATGGAAGCCTATCTTGCTTTTCTTATCCTGGTTTTGACCTCCTCGTCTGTACTGTCTGTAGTAGAAATGATGCTACGTAGGTGGATAGGTGAGAGAGACAACTTCTTTTAGGTTTCTCCCGTTGATGGTGATTGGTGCTTGTTGTTGTTGTTGTTGTTTGGGTATCTTCATCACCTCTGTCTTCTCTACATTCACTTAAAATCCCATTTTCGCTGCTATGCCCTCTTCTGTCAACTTGTTAGTTTTTGCCTGTAGATCTCCGAGTTTGTGCCACATTAGACATAAATCATGGTGTGCACAATCGAAATCTTGTAGTTACTTTTCACCAGTCAAACGGTGTATGCCCATCTTTCTGCTCCTCGCGGTTTTGCTGCATGATCCAGTCCACCACGATCAGAAAGATCATCGGTGATAGTAGGCAGTCTTATCTTACTCCTGTCTTCACTTCGAAGGCGTCACTGAGCTCTCCATTGTGAATCACTTGGCATGTAGCGTCGTCATATAGCTTTTGAATGGGATTGACGAAGGTTTATGGCACTAAAGTCGTAGTGTTGAAGCAGTTGGGGAATTACTTGTGGGTCGACGCTGTCGAAGGCCTTTTCAAAATCGATGAAATTGTGGGGAAGATTTGACTACCATTCTGTGTTCCGTTCTATGATGATGCGTAGCATTGCGATTTGATCCCCACATGATTTGTTTATTCTAAAGCCAGCCTGTTCTGGTCGAAATTTTTAATGGAGAGCATTGTTTAGTCTCTCCAGGATGATGTGGCATAATATTTTGCTTGATGTGGACAGGAGCATGTTTCTTCACCAGTTTTAGCAAAGGCTTAGGTCTCATAAACAGGGAAAAGCATAGGTAGTTGCAGCGATCCTTAAATGGTAAGGTATATGCAAAAGTCGGGTTTATGTTTTGTAGCTATTAGTCTAAGCACGTAATGTCAAGTTATTTCAGTTTCTTTGTCGTTCTGACATTTTGATAAATTATCATTGTTTACTGTGAAATTCTTTATATTCTGTATTGGTCAATTAATAGGTAAGTTGGAAACGTGTTCCAGATGAAATTGCCTGGTCTGTTGGTTCACAATACATAATAGATAGTCGGAAGAACCATTCTATAAAAGCAAAATTGGATCATTTGAACCAAATCAGTTTAGCTTTTACAACATATTTAACTAAAGGTGAGTTATACTTTTTTTGCTGATTTCATTTCGGAGGTTTGTGTGGATTTATTGATTTCAAGTTGGTATTCATCAGGGATTAACCGTAGTCGGTGAATTATTGAGAACCTGGAGCAGTGGACAGTCCTAGTATGAGACTACCCAGCAGTGGATGATAGCTCTAGGGGTCAAAATCAGAACCTTCAGATTTCGCGGCGAGTACGTCAACACTGAGCCACTGGTCATAATGCAATGGTTCACACACCAGCAGGTTAATCGTGGTGTCAAGTCAAGTGTTTGCATAACACAGTTCTTTGCGAGAAGTCTCATCATGGTTTCCTATGGAAATCGAAATATTCAGCGCATATAATGCTATCTCCTTGACACCCCAGGTCGCCAACCAGAATCCAGGTGGTTTGAAAAATTGGCTTCTCTGAGCTGAATCAGTCCAGGTACACCGCTGATGGGGCTGGCACTAAACGAACGAAGTGGCTTTTCGGTGCTTAGATCACCTTGATCTGGTTAGTGAGCACTGGTAGTCTCTGTGGTCGGTCTAGAACGACTCATATCATCATAGTATAGTCATATAGTTGTGATATCCCTAAAACAAGTGGACAGTGGTAAACTTAGTGGTTGTGTTAACAACCCCTTAGGACTTCATCTTTCATCTATGTGCGCATGGGCACAAATTGTTATTCACATTGGGATATTTCAACAACTATGAAGTATCTTACTTGGTTGTGGCTAGCAGAAGAATCCAGGGTTCGCGTTTCGTCCTATTTAGGACTCGCCAGCTGGATGTACCTGCACTCCAGTGAGTGATGTTGCCCCTACTGGGACTGGAACCTCGTGCCGATCGCTTTAAACACCAGAGCGTTGTTCACTGGGCCACCAAGCCACGATAATAGTAATAATAATTGTAGCAATAATCATAATAAAACATTCAGGCAATATAGAGGGATCCGCATAGCAGTCCATATGGCAACAGAAGTCGATCAATTCGATCCAGTATAACGGAGAATTGAAAGTATATCAACAAATACCAATAACGATGAAGTAGCTGATTTTAAATGGAGTTCTCACTCTCTTTTTTTCCGGGACATCATTCAGTGTTTCACTCCACTTGCTTTTCTGTTGATCTCCATTTGAGCAGTGAATCTGTTGCCTTTATCACTTCATTTCATGTCATTTGTAGGATTGCTTTTAGATTCAAGTGTTTAAGAAAAAACACCTTTTAATGTTTATTTTAAAATAAGCATAGATTGAAGAGATGATCAGTTCGAAATAGTCAGGTTTCTTTTTCACTAGATGGTGAATTTCCTTGATGTTTTGAATGCGGATCGTTTTTATAAAGATTGATGGAAGACAGTGGTCAGGATGTTTGTCACTGAATAATTTTCTGGACTCTTTATTGTGACGCGTTGGTCAACTGTGTATGTGTGTCTCTAGGTTAATATAAATCATGAACATTGTTGTATGTATAGTTTGTAGGAAGGTCCTTTAGCAAATACTGAGCACGCTATTCAAAATGCCATCAACTTATATGGTAATGAAAAATATTAGTAATCAGTCAGATATCTGGGACGTGTTACGCATGCCTAGTCACTATCTGCCTCGTCGCCCAATATTAGCTGAAGTAAGTTCAGGCTGGGAAAAGACTAGCGGCGACCAGACAAAAACCTAGTATTACTGCATAAAGTCTTTGATTGTTGATCTGAGCCGTGTAGGATCATGCAAACTAACCGGTTTGAGTTCGCGTAATAACAGAAACTAGTGGTTAAAGACTCTAGGTAACATGGGTTAGAATTGATGTCAGTAGCGCAGATGTATCCTTACTTTATTTTCATTTAATCACTTTACTAAATTCAAGATTTCCTCACTCCTCCTTCCTCTACTTTGCTATTTTTCTCTACTTGTAACCGATTTTTCTTGTTCTCTTCAGCTTTCATCTTATTGTTTTATTACTTGTTGGGCTGATATGACGTGTGGCAACTTGGACCGTTATGTTGATATTGATAGTGGTAATGATGCAGTTAGTTAACGAAAACTTGTCTATTTTTCATCACTTATCTGGTAACTGTGTCCCAACTATTTTGAGGCAATGGATTTTAGTTGGTAAATTTTGGTCCTCATTGGAAAAAGTAGCATATTTTTAGTTGGCATCCAATCAGTATTTCGTGTATGTAGTCCGGTTTTTTGAGGAGTCGGTTGCACGACTAGTAACTTAGCAGGGGTGGATTGAATTACAAACGAAAATCTACTTTCGTTAACAATCAAAATTACCGACGCCCGACAATAGCTGCATTTGTTGACCTGAAGGTGGCATTCGACTCCATCGATTAAGAAATCTTATGGCAATACCTCTAACTGAAAGGGATACGAAGTAAGTACATCACCTTATTGAAGGCTTTTTACTCGAACACCCGTAGACGTGTTAGAGCCTATTGTGAGATGTCGTGTGAGCTGTGTATGTCGATTGGTGTCTGTCAAGGATGCCCATTCTCCAGTTTTATTCAATTTTATCATAGACGTTTGTATTGAGATCTCCCTTTCGTCATCTGACCACACAGGAATTGACCTAATCACAGGAGAATTTTCTGTAGAGCTGGAATACGCGGATGACATAGTCATGTTAGGTAAAGACACTGACAAGATACAGAGTTTTCTGAACACCCCGGGTGGAAATTTGAAAATGTTTGGAATGCGTTTGTCGCCGTCCGAATGAAAATCGTAACTCTAAGGCTGATCTTCAGCGATGCTCCGGCTAACAGTAGAGAGTGAAGTGGTTGAGTGGGTTGAACACTCCTCTTGACTGAGAAGTCGGATGAGCCATGGTGGCTCAGTAACCGACGAAATCTCTGCACGGATACAAAAGGCTCGGTCAGCCTTTGACGAATTATGCCATCTGTGGCACCACCGCGATATCGGATTGTCTATCAAGGGTCGAGTGTACAGCACACCAGTCCGCTCTAATCTACTGTATGTTTGTGAAATATGACCATTAAAAGTAGAAGACATGACAAGACCTCAGGTTTTTGACCACCGTTACCTTCGTAGCATAGGCGGTGTTTTGTGGTGTCACCACGTGAGTAACACAGAGGTCAGGCGTAGAGTTTTGGGAGGGAGCGGAAAGTCAGTCGATGCGGTTATGAACCTTCATCGACTGAGATGGCCGGAACATGTCCCACGTATGCCTAGTCGCCGATTTTCTCGTCAGACAGTGTTGGCCGAAGTAGGTTCAGACTGGAAAAAGACCCGAGGCGGCCAGACCAAAACATGGCACCAGTGTATGAAGTGTTTGACTATTGGTTTAAACCATGTGAGGCGATGCAGACTAGGTGGTTGGGGTCTGCGGGACAATCGTAACTAGTGGTCGGAGACCTTAGGTGATATGGTTGAGAAGCGATGTCAGTGGCGCAGATGCATGCACACACACATTATCCTCATATTAATCGCTATACTTAATCTCACTATCTTCTCACTCTGCTATCTTCACTACTTTACACTTCTTTAGACCGATTTTTGTTTTTTTTCTTCATCCTTCATTTTTTGCCTTCCTTCTTGAGGTACTGATATGAATGAGATGTAGTAGCTTAGAGCGTTATGCAGTAATGCTGGTTCTATGGTGATCTTGATGATGATAGTTGTATGGCGGCGTTTGAGATGGTGCAATTTTTGTATTCAAACTTCACAATCAATTCCAACCATCCAAGTCAAGATGATGTGTCAACACATTGCAGACTGTCTTATATATGCGGTAAATCGTGACTACTTTAGTCTATGAGTAAGAACTTGGGCAGTATGTGATAATGTAATTTTAACTAGATTTTTATTTATCTGATTACACAGCACTAAATGGTTCTCTGTGATGATGTTTTAAGCACAACTTACTGTCTCACAATTTTCTCTAGTCGTATCACATTTTTTCTTATCTTCTTTCAATGGTGGTATAATTCTCAGTTATCTTAGTGTATTCACTGAAATAAAACGATAAAAAAGATCGAGACAAAGCAACACTCCTAAGCACCAATGTGTTTTCGGGTTAACAGAGCTTGATTACCGAAATTCTGTTCATAAACTCAAAACTTATGAGTGAAACAGTAATTATTTTTGGATTTAAGTTTTCTAACACATTTATAGGAGAACAAACGAAACGCACTCAACCACCTTTTCCACATCCATGCTGTAGGCAGTGAACCACACCTGCTGTCTGAGGGTTAGTGATACTACCAGCGGTTGCCCAAACCTCGGTCGATGCAACGAAGCTCAAACCTAGTTGATTGGTTAATAATCATCTCCCTAAACCACTGACCCAAAGCTACACACAATTATGGAAGAAAAATTGTGCTTGAAATTTGATCCAGCAAATAATACTGTATCTATCATGTACTGTATAAAAACTAAGCAAATCTAGCAACCATTCTATTGGCATCAAGAGATAAAAATGATAATCTAAGATATTTGGACATATATAAGGATCATATTTCACACCCAGAGGGGACATGTCTACAGATGATTATAAAATCTTTAACTGCGGAAACGAATTTCGTAACAAACAGACAGGCGAAGCATGTTACCTACTGCTGATCATTCTCATTGATTTGATATCTGCAATATGAAAATTAGTTTTATCATGTTCCTTTAACTGTACTCTGAAAATCAGTAATCCATTATGATCATTTGACCTATATCGTTCAATCTTCCAGTCAGTAGCTTGGATTTATATCATCATGTTATTTTTCTTAATTCCTGTAATATACTTGCACAAGGCAAGCTAAATCGTTTATAAGGAATCTAGTAAGTTTTGCTGAGATGTTTTAGTAATCTACTTGTAAAGCTTCTTTCGATTAGCCAATACACCTTACTGTTGCAGATTGGAATTAAAATCGCTTTTATGCAGCATATTGGACATGAATTGTACATCTATTTGTCAGTTCATTCATCATGGAAGTGATCAACGCTCTAAATCAGTTGTAAATAAATAGAATTGATTGGAGACGAAGAATAAAACGTTTTATTTAGATTTTGATCCATTTCCACTATTGAATTTAAATGTACACATGTATATAGGTGGGATGACTTGTTCTTAGTGACTAGCCGTAATACTTCCTAATTATTACTACAAACCATGAACAGATGGTATGGAAAAGTTTCTCTTCATTTCCATCAGTTAGTTAGGAGTTGTGGCTCATTGGTATAGGGAGACGGTTTGGATAAACGAGTAGTATCACTAGCCCTCACACAATAGGTGTGCTAATTGCCCATTCCACGAATATGGACATGGTTGGTGAGTGCATTTTAAGTTTTCAAATTCGATAGAAACCTATTTTACTCGTTTACCATAATTAATTTATTTTGCTATCGATTGGCTTTAAAGACTACCCTAGCAACTGCAGCTATCGTCGTCAAGGCATTATTTCAACAGAAAAACGAATTGGTTAATTTACTAGTAAACCTTTAAACCTTATGATATTTGGCTAAGGGTATATGGCGTTCGATTAATCATTCAGATAATGGCAGCTGTGGTTACTTGAATAATCTTAATAATCCGGATTATTTAAAAGCAAACTTGACTATGGAGTCGTATTGAAGATACTATCCCTTAGGCAACTTTACTGGCAATAAAACTCATTTTGAAGTATTTTGTTCACCACTGAAAAGTGCTTTCTGTATGCACATTATTGAACTTTTGATGAGAAACTTTTATATCCCTATTTATACTACTCAAAGTAGTATGATTGGAAACACTAAAAACTTAATCCTCTTTTCATATAGTCTCATCTGTCAACTAGTGTAACTAAATTGATTATTTATGACATAGTTGTAGTATTTTTATCGTATAGTCAGTCCGGTGGCTAGAAATTAATTAGTTTGGGTTACTAGTCACATGATATTTTTGAATGCTGACTGTATAGTCGTTCCCCAAGCCACTTGATTCAAACAGTCTGAAAGATAAAGATTGAGTACTAATGATTCATTGTTCATCAAAAGGTATTTTTAATAACTGAAAAGTATATTGTTCAGCTCACCTACTCTGTTAGTCACAAGAGCATCTAATTCCACAGGTTTTTAGTTGACATATAGAATTTATATCCTGTTGTAGTATAATTTTCAAATTCAACTGCTCTTCTTAGGTTGGTTTATTATTATTATTATTATTATTAGTCCCTTGGGTTCCTAGTGGAACATAGGGCTTCAGTAGCACGCCTCCAGTGACCTCTGTTCTCTGAGATTTCAGCCTGGTCCCACGACAGCCCACAACCTCTCATTTCCTCCTCACACGACCTCCTCCATGTCACCCTTGGACGTCCAACTCGTCGCTTCCATGGGATTCCACTCGAGCAACTGGCCTGACGCGTGATGTCCTCAGTCGGCCTTCTCAGTGCATGGCCAATCCATCTCCACTTCTTCCTGCATATTTGTTGCGTGATAGGTTCTTGGTTGGTTCGTTCCAGAGTTCCTTGTTGCTTATTCTTTCTGGCCATCTGATCTTCAGTAGCGAGCCAGCGTAGGTGGCAGTTGTTGATGAATGTCTGTAGTTTATTGGAAATCCCTTTCGTGACGCGCCAAGTCTCTGAGCCATACAAGAGCACTGACTTGACGTTGGTGTTGAAAATCCGTATCTTGTTCCGCATGCTGGGTGCAGAAGATCTGCACACTGGTTTCAGGGTAATGAACGCCTGTCTTACTTTTCCGATTCTGACTTTGACGTCGTCGTCTGTGCCTGTGCCGCCTGTAGTTGAAACAGTGCTTCCTAGATAAGTGAAGGAGGTTACTTCCTTCAAGTTTCTCCCGTTGACGGTGATTGGAGTTTGTTGTTGTTGTTGATGGTGGTGTGCGGTATCTTCATCACTTCTGTCTTCTCTATGTTCACCTGAAGTCCCGTCTTAGCTGCCTCTTCTATCAACTTGTTAGTTTTTGCCTGCAGATCTTCAAGTTTGTGTGACATTAGGCATAAGTCATCGGCGAAATCCAAGTCTTCTAGGTTCTTTTCCGTCGTCCAGTGTATCCCCCTCTTCTCGCTGCCTACTGTTTGCTGCATGATCCAGTCCACCACAATAAGGAATATCATGGGGATAGTAGGCAACCTTTTTCACTCCTGTCTTCACTTCAAAGGCATCACTGAGCTTCCCATTGTGAATTACTTGGCATGTGGCATCTTCATATAGTTGTTGAATGAGGCGGATAAAGGTTTGCGGTACTCCGTAGTATTGAAGCAGTTTCCAAATTACTTCTCGGTCGACGCTGTCAAAGGCCTTCTCAAAGTCGATGAAGTTGAGGCAGAGAGCTGATTGCCATTCTATGCTCTGTTCTATGATAATGCGAAGCGTTGCAATTTGGTCTGCACATGATTTGTACTTCCTGAAGCCTGCCTGTTCCGGTCGCAGTTTGAATCCAGTGCGTCTTTAAGCCTCTCCAGGATGATGCGGCTTAATATTTTACTTGGGGTGGACAGGAGAGTGATTCCACGCCAGTTCTTGCAAGCACTCAGGTCTCCTTTCTTCGGCAGTTTGACAAGGTAACCCTTCTTCCAATCGTCAGGTACCTTCTCTTCCTTCCACACCTTCTTAGGTTGGTTACATTCAATTAAAAATTTGATAAAACCACCAATGGAAAACGGATACCTAAAGTCTTCTATTCATAACTGAGACCTTTTACCACTATGAAATATCGAAGTCGCTTATTCATTCATCAATAATCATTGTCACTTTTTCAAGATGATCATTAGATTTGTGACACTTTGAGCTACCATGCAGTTTACTACGTAACCGATTATCAAGAGATTGAAATGCAATCAGAAAGTTTGTGCACATTCATACAGTAGACAATGAACCACACTTATCGTGTTAGGACTATTGATACCTACCTAAACTTTTGTAGATGGTGTTCGAACGCGTGACACATTGATTGAAAGTCATCTGCCTAAACCAGTGAATCACAGCTCCATAAAAGACATGCATGTGATACTAAAGGAATTGATGTTCCCTGTATGATCCGAATCTGCTTCACGCAGTTTTGTAGTCAGTGACGTTACGTTATTCGAACCTGTAAAAAATTAACTCAGCTTCGGTACCTTGTCAAACAACTTGATCGATTAGTTCTAGTCATTAGTGAGAAGAGAAAGATGAGAACTATTATTATTATTAGTCCTTTGGGTTTCCTTAGGGCTTCAGTAGCACGTCTCCAGTGAACTCTGTTCTCTGAAATCTTCTGAACCTGGCTCCACGACCGCTAGCCCACAAGCTCTCATTTCCTCCTCGCAATATCTCCTCCATGTCACCCTCACCTGGGACGCACAACTCGTCACTTCCATCTGGGTTCCACTGGATGGCCTGGCCTGGCACGTAATGTCCCCAGTCGGCTTTCTCAATGTATACCCAATCCATCTCCACTTCCTTCTACATATTTGTTGAGCGACAGGTTCTTGGTTGGTTCGTCGCCAAGCCAGAGTTCCTTGTTGCTTATTCTTTCTGGCCTTTTCATCTGAGCTTCAGTAACGAGCCAGCGTAGGAAGTTGTTGATGAATGTCTGTAGTTTATTGGAAATGCCTTTCGTAATGCGCCAAGTCTCTGAACCATACAGAAGCACTGACTTGACGTTGGTGATGAGAACTATGCATATGTAAAATATAATAACTGTTGTTCACTTGACCAAAGTTTCTCCGTCTTATTATCAGTTTAATCAAGGGTCAGTTCGGAATTTGTCTACTCATAAGTATAACTAACCATATGGCTTACTGACTAGTTGGTGAACATGTAAAATGTTGCTGAATTTGCATGTATGGGCATGTATACATACATACATTTAATGATCGACTCTTGTTTATTTCTTAACCTGTACATTTCAAAGTGATGGTAATGGTTGCCTGTGATCATTGAAATAATAGTAGAATGTTTTATTTTATGGGATTTTATTATTATCTCTCTATTTTCATACCTTCTTTTGTACAGGTCTCCAGCTTACTTTGAGCGGTGTTTTCAATGGCCCTGATATACCTAAAATGGGTATTGGTTTAGAATTGAACTGTTAAACTAATCGTTGACTAATTAGTCTGAAATGTTTGAAGGATTATTATTAATTACTCTTATAACAATGGTTAATTGTCGCTGTCATCTTACCCGGTTCTACACATGCGTCATTCATATACACTTAGATATTCACTACACAAATGTTTGTATCTCATTTGTACGGGGTTCTCAGTGCTTTTTTTTGCATATTTGTTTTTATATTTCACGTTTGCTTGTTCTTAGTGATATATTCTGCCCCTCCCCCTCCCATGTATATTATCTTTGAGTTGGTTTAACTTTAGATTTTTGTCTTTATGAACAACTAGAAAACTCAGAAATATACCAGTAAAATTTACTTACAGTTTTGAAGGTATAAATTCTCATTGTTACTGGGATGAAAAGTCCTAGCAACCAGTGTGAATACGATCAGAAGATAGAGTAACACGTCATGAATTCATATAGCAGTTGGAAAATATCCTTGATGATTGAAATGAAAGAAAATTGAAATCTGGTCAGTAGTAGAGTCTCGTAGAGTATCAAACCAGAAACCTAGTGGTCGCTGGTTCTTATCCTTCTGTGGCCCAAATTTTCATGTAACCTTCAATCATCACCCACTATCAATAATAGTCTGCCATACCACAACTGTCTGAGGTAGTCAAACTGATCAACAATGAAGTAAGCAATTAGGGTTTTTATTTTATAAAAATATATCTTTCCGAACTAGATGGTTATTTAAGTCGTTACTGGGACAGCCTTTAGAGTCAAATATGCTTTGATGTGAAAAACATTAGATCAGCTAGAATTCACGTGTTGTTTGTTCGTTGGTTAAACTTCATCATATTAACTGTGGATAGAGTGTAACAGAAAGCCGTAGTAGGGTCACCATTGGTGTTGATTTTTAGCCGTATTTGCTAATCTATCAAACGTTTAACTCTCATAGTTTCTTTGACCTCATCCAGACAGTCAGCAGGCATCATTAAGAGGTATATCAACACAGTTACTCTTTGTTCTATGTCTCCATCTCATAAAATAACCTCTTAAGTGACGTGTATAGGACGTTTTCTAGCCACTGAAGCCGATCAAAATACCTTTAACAATTGAGTGCATCATATGCATTATGTTCAAAAATACGAAACCAGATCTCAGTATTCTATACTTTTTGTTACCATTGAAAAATAGCTGTTCTACGAAAAGAGAGATGATTAGTTGTAGAGAACCATTGAACTTTTTTAGATGAGAGAGTGGCAAGGTCTCAGAAATAAGTATAAAGAGGTATCACATTTTTTGTCATATGCTTTAATGTTTTTTGGTATACGAAGAGTGATCTTAATTCATATCGATCCAGTAACACTTGTACAATGCACAGATATTCGAAATTCTTGTTATTCCAAGCAGTTAGTTACCTGTAAACAATGGTTTCATCTATAGACTCCTACTGATTTCACTAAAGCAATTTTCTATCCGGTAGTGGAAAGCACATACCGTTTATGCCCAGAAGAACGAGTTATTAACTGAATAGGTGCTATCTTCTTAGGTTGTATGTTAAAGTCTGTTAAGATGATATTGTCAAAAGGTCCTTCTCTTTGTAACAGATCTTTATCAGTACCAATACACACCTCGTTTTAAGCTGTCTTATCAATAGAAAAGAGGAAGAGTGAATTTGGATAACTCCACTATTAGTTGGAAGTAATTCAGGGGAATTATTGTGTTCTCATTCTCTGTTTGTTTTTTGTATAGAATTCCCACTGAATTAACGAGGCAAAAAGTTGATGCAAACTGTCACATTCGAAGAGTAGAAGACAGCTGTCATATCAAACAGCATATTATATGTGGCGGCCTCTATACTGCCTGCCAACAGAGGCCGAGCAATTCTACCCAGTCGAAAAAACTATAATGTGTGTACTACAACAAAAAGGCTCTTAGTACAACAGTTAAGGCCCTGAAATGTTGCTTTTTGGTTGTATTTTGTTCTCTGAGCTGGGTTGTTTAATTATGAAGCTTTTATCGTCCTTCTAGACGACATCATCAGCACTAACTTCATACCAAGACCATCCACCTGAGCTAAAAATATTCTCCACTATTTCAATGTTGCTTTTTATTCTGTCTATTTTCTACTAATTCTTTTAACTCCTGATTAGAGATGGTAGCAATAACACCACAATAATTCAGTTTTCCAGTGTTTTTCAGAAAAATAATCTGACTAACCAACTATATGAAAGTGTATGCATCAAGGGATGAGTGCTTCTGGGGTAGGGACTGCTCAAACCATTCTACACGGTGTAAAACGTTGAATTCGTTACCCCACTGGTCGTAAAACTTAGCTCTCTAGATCAATATGCCACAGCCACCAGTCAGTACAATGAGTACGAACACTTGTATCCTTAGTATGTATATCTGTTAGAAGGAACATTTCAGCATTTGGAGTTTAATAGTAATAATAATAACAATAATCAAGTCTTGCAGATCATCTAAGAAAAGGCTGAACTATTAATCTGAAGACTTAGACTAGTTTAGACTTGAATTGTTTTTTGAAGAAGTTTTTCTGTCGACTTTAGCAATTATACAAGGTAATATGAAGAAAAAGCTTGAAAGTTAGTCAATGTAGACGAGTACAAATTGTGAATCCCTAAAGAAAGGCCGTAGCATCTAACGGATTATATGCTATGCCAAATTCTACTTAAAATGTTTACAGACAAAAAGCCTGCCTGTAGCCAAAAACAAAGGATACCCCGTACGTCTACAGTATTTGATATACTATACGATATAAATCAAGTTCTAGATCTCCTTGGAGTTGCAACATGTCTTACTGCTAGGTGTCAACGAGCACATTGAATCCAGTTCAAAAGCTTCCGGTTGAATGCGCTCTAACAACCAACAGTAAACGGACTGTATAACAGTAGGATGCCAGCTAGCTAAGTATTTATATCAGTCAGTCAGCATCAGTGTGGAACTTGGCATTGCTGTATGAATATCCAAGTTGTCACACCTCATCTTGATGAAACAGATAAATAAGAAGGAAAGTTGTCGGAGTCATTTAAGGAGTACACGAAGGAATATAAGAACAATGAAATTCGGTACGACTCTTGTGATGAATAAATTGCATGGGTCCATGTACGTGACTGAGATCATTTCTGAGCTACATCAAACACAGTCTCCAACCACCGATGTTGGTTGTTACCAAGATCTCAACTGGGAAGCCTAAATTTATCTAGACAGCTCAGACCAACAATCAAAGACTTCATGGACTGTCAGCCTTATACCTTTTTCCAACCTAAACTTATAGTATTTAGCACTGTATCATATGGTGGACACTGATACAGCGTGCATGAGACATATCGCAGCAAACTGAGTCTATGAAGATCCACAATCTCATCAACTGAATTATCTCTTCTCTCTAAGACTCTACATTTAATCCCTACATCATGAAAAAATGGTGATTCATTCTAATGTGGTTATCACAGCAAGACCTCTCTTCTTTTTTCAAAGACTCGAGCAATCAGTAACAAGTCAGTTAGGAGGGATCACAGATGATTGCCACCTACTAACTTTCACTCCTGTAAATTCCTCTAATAATCCTCTGGTGCCCTCCTTAATTGCCTCCAGTAATACTCCATTGGGACCTCCTAGTGTTCCTTCTGATCACATGGAAGAGGATAACTAGACTTCACGTGAAACTTATGGTTTGGGAACTGCATCAATTAATGCATAATAACTAATTAATAAACTAATTATGCTACCTAACAGACGGCTAGTCTAAGTGAGGCAATCAATCAGTCAATATCAACATAGGACTAGGCATTACTGCTCACGGTCCGGGTTACCACAGCTGAGTACAGTACATCAAGTAGAAAGGTAGTGAGGTGAAGGATGAAGATAAGAGAATGCAGTCAAAAGAAATATAAAGTACGAGAAGAAAGAAAAGAGGAATGACAAAATGGTGAGATTCGATATAGCGTCGTTGAGATGAGGATAATGCATGTATACATCTGCGCCACTGACATCGGTTCTCAGCCATATCACCTAGAGTCTCCAACCACTGGTTCCTCTTGTCCCGTGGACCCCAACCACCTAGTCTGCATCGTCCTAGATGGCTTAAACCAACAGTCAGAGACCTCATACATTGGTGCTATGTTTTAGTCTGTCCACCTGGAGCCTTTTTCCAGCCTAGACCCACCTCAGCCAAGATTGTGTGACGAGGCAGTTGATGACTAGGCATACGTAATGAGTGTCCCAACCATCTCAGTCGATGAAGGTTCATAACCTCGTCGACTGACTCACCTCTTCTCCTTAAAACTCTACACCTGACTTCTGCATTACTCACGTGGTGTGACACCATGGAATACGGCAGCCTATACTACGAAGGCCAACGGTGGTCAAACACCTGAAGCCTTGTCATGTCCTCCACCTTCAATGGCCATGTTTCACAACCATACAGTAGAACAGAGTGGACTGCTGTGCAGTACACATGACCCTTAATAGACAAACAGATATCACGGCGGCACCATATGTGGCGCAAATTGGCAAAAGCCAATCGAGCCTTTTGTATCTGTGCAGAAATCTCATCGGCCGCTGACCGGCGCACTAGGGCTGATCCCACTTCCCAGGTAAGTGAAGTGGTCAACACACTCAACCACTTCACTCTCTACTGTTAGCCGCGGTACCGCTGAAGACCAGTCCTGGAGCAAAAATTTGCATTTGGGTGTTGAGAACCTCATCCGAAACATTCTTAAATTGCCACTCAAATTGTTCAGAAGACTCTGCATCTTGTCAGCGTCTTCACCTAACAGGACTGTGTCATCTGCATATTTTAGGTCTAACGAAAATTCTCCTGTGATTAGGTCGTCTGTGTAACCTGGTGACGAGAGGGAAACCTCCATAAGAGTATCCATGATGAAACTGAATAAGAATGAAGACACTACTCGATGAGTATAGCTCCCTGGACAACTCACCATAAGCTCTAACATGCCCACAAGTGTTCGAGTAGAGAGCTTTCAATAAGGTGATGTACTTACTCGGCACGCCTTTCAGTGACAGACATTGCCATAAGACTTCTCGATCGGCCGAGTCGAATTCCGCCTTCAGGTTGAGAAATACAGCTATTGTTGGGCGTCTGTAAGCATGCCTATGTTCCAGGACCTGGTGCAGTGTGAATATTGGTCGATACACCTGCGGCGGGTCTAAAGCCTGACTGGTTTTCTCGGGCTTGGTGTTCCCGAGCTCCAGTCAGGCGTCGGAGAATTATAGAACCTAGGATTTTGGATACTATGTTCATCAGGCTGATTCCTCTGTGGTTATGACAAGAGGACTTCTTGCCTTTCTTGAAGACTGGGATAATGAGTGACTTAGACCAGTCAGAGGGGA